AACAACAATGATTATATCGTATCTGGCACGGATTGTACTACTTTTACCTGATCTTTCCGCATCCGATAATGATCGTCTAATCAATATTGCCCGAACATCACATGCCCGGTTAGGGCACGTAAATGAAGTTGGTGCTGATGGACGTCACAACTACACGGCTTCACAACGAGCACATGAACCAAGGACCCTCTCCAAAGCCACATCCACTGCCGACCTTTCTGATGACGGTAACTGCTCACAGTACTTTACCAGTTCTCCTTCAAAAAAATGACGAAGATCTGGTCCAGGTGAACTTCTTGCAACTTCAGGATATGAACCAGCACGATCGTATGACCGGGACCGATCGTGGAGCTCACGTAAGCCCAGGGACGATGAGGAATGTATCCCCATCAATGATACTCTACGAAAACATCTTCTACAGGTACCACTTGGGGTTTCTTTACAAGTTATGTTCTCGCTAGAACATTTTCTCTCTCACAATTATTGGCTTTTCCCGTTTGTTTCTAATGTAGAGCGTAAAATTTGGCTTCTTTCCAAATATTTCTGATAATTTTATGATTAACTGGTTACCTATTCGAACCATTACTTACTTTTTTGTCTGTACTGTTACTCTTACCTGAGACAAAGCAAAGATATAACATGACGTCAGCGTAACACCAGCCTCGAGTACTTGTCAATGCTCCTTCGCCCATTTTGGCCATTACCCTCATCCCCCATTTGGCTCAGTCTCAACGGCCACCATGAGTGTGTGTATGTGTGTGAAAAGGAAGTAGTTGTAAGCTATTACTTGTAAAGTAGTTCACAATTCAGTAGCTAAGCAGTAATGTTCGAATTCTGTTGGTAACATTATTAGTTTTTCTAGTATTTCGGCATGTTGTCGATGCAATAGAAATGCCCCCCGTGCAAATCGGTTATTCATTCATAAAAGAAGTGCGATACGTTCAATCTACACGTTAGCCGTACCTTCGAAATCTTTTTACCAGTAATCTACGAGTAACAATGTACTTGTAAAGTACATCTACTCGTTCGTAGCTCTTATATAGCCGCCCATCAACTGCGACAAATTCCCTAACGCTTCATTGAACTGAAACAAGGCTTGAGTGAGTTGTCTTGGGTAGTTGTTGGTAACTGCAGTCTAGTAGGTCTACTAGTAAGCATATGTACATTATGCTATGATTTTGGGATACATGATGGATGTACTGGTTGAATAGGTCTTTACCAGTTTACTCCAGTAAGTCAAAAGTATTGTCCGTCTGTCTGGGTTCAGGCATGCGTTAATGGAGGTCGATCTTAGGACATCTACTGGAGTAATTAATTTTGGCTGCTCATTCTAGGCTTTACTTTGCGACCATTACTTAGAAGGAGCTTTACTGGAACGTTCGGTGAAGCACGAAAGCCTCCCGCATCTCAAGTGAAGTTGTCATCGCGTGATACTTCCCAAACCCCCAAATGCCCCCTAATATTCAATAAGATTAGGTAATACTCGATGGGATCGAAAAGTAGTTTTCTGGGGGCCCACCTTGCTGAAAATTCTATCAGCAAACTTCAAATGCTAAAGGGTTTGGGGCAGATAAGCCCTACGGGGCGCGCCCTGCGTTCGATGTCTACCAAGGTCCTCATTGATAATTGAAAGGTCACCAAGTGTCTGCAGCTGGTCCTGAGACCTTTTGACCTATCTTAGTGAAAAAGTATGGATGAATTCTTGTCCTAGGGCTGGAAATATGCCAACTTGCCTACTAAGATTCCATGTCACTCTCGTTTCGATTGATAATATTGGATTTTCAAAGGGAAATAGAAGAGATTCGAAAAAGAGGGTGCTTACAAGGAAAATAACGTTCTCTTCGAGTTAGGCAGTACTTACTTTCACAGAACTGCATTACTTTGTATCTCATTGCTAGTTCAGGCTTCTCTTGAATGTTTCCTTCAAGTAATTGGTTTTTTTTTCCAACTCGAAGGACACTCAGACAGTCTGAGAGGGCTTTATGAACCTCAGCGTGTTAGAAATAATTCGATTTGTTGTCGTTTTCAATGCTATGTCTTCCATTATGGGAAATTTTGGGGCTAGAATTGCCGTAATAGGGCCAATATCGAACGCTGTCCTTTTGTTGAATAGGGTCCAATAAGAAGAATAGGGGAGAGGAGACAGAGGTTTTAAGGATTCCAGGAGTTCGCGTTTCACCTGGAAGAACAGGGTTCAGATGCCGCTGTGACATAGAAATGGCCAACGTGAAGTTGTAATTGTAGAAAATTTAAAGTTTCATGTAACAATTCTCTAAGAAGCGTCTATTTTTCCATCGACTAAGAAATACGTTTAGTCAATGAAGAAGGAATGATATTAGGCCGGCCGAAGGGAAAAGTTGAAACGCGGAACTCCACTCAACTTGTCGGTGACGTCAGACGACGGGGTGTGTTTTTACGTCCGAATGTCAAACAGAAGAGCAGGGATTTTGAACTTTTTTCATTTTTAATAAATTCGACTGAACTCATTTCAGTTTGGACGATTCTAACATATAGCTAGCATTCAGAAATGGTTTTTTGCATTCGGATGTCAAATATTGGAGCGAAATGGGCCCATAGTCAGCCGGCATGGTCCTTTGACGAGGGACCCTTTGTTTTCGTACTTTTAGGGTAACATTAGGAAAATCCCTTCGTTATCATCAAGTTTATTTATTTATTTATCATAGGTAAGTTGCGTAGGTTTGTTTAGCTTCAATATATCCTGGCTAACTCTCAGGACCTATTCAGGATATCCCGAATATCTTACTGGCTTATCCCCAAAAATGAGGTCCTGCTCTCAGGGTTGTCCCCAGTGAAGCCAGTGAGGGAAGCTGTAGATAAGTTAGCATATGGAGGCTATTGCCTATAGGGGGGCTATCTATTTTGTTATGGGCCATATTCAAGTGCAATGCCATAACGCTCAATAAACTTTGACATTTGGTAGGATTACTAAAGTAACTACCATGTCCGCCGAGAAAAGAGGAATTGTAATAGTCCTCTGAGGGTTGATGATGAATGGGGCTCCTTCTAAAATGGGTTCCAGTTAATGTAATCCCAGATTTATAGCGGACCTTTTTGTCCGTCCTTCGAAGGAANGGGGGGGGGGGGGGGGGGGGTATCTCTATCTGGGCGATTCGCCCCGATGCTGAAGTGTGGCCGCAAATTGCATATGATGATTGTAGTTCTTGCCCATAATACGTTTCCAAGAACTAATTTTAAGCATTGTGCAATAACTTGGAGTCGGCGAGTATATCGTCGGAGCGGCCTTTTCCGGGACTTCATAAAAAGGGCTATGTGTGTGTGCAATTGAGCCCTATGATTACAAATTCCCTTCTGTCGCGGACGGAATTGATTGTGAGGTGAGAAATGTAAACTCTTCGGATTGGGTGAGTTGGTAAATAGTAAGTAATGACGCTAAACAAGTAAATACTTTTCTCCAGTGATTCGAAGGGTATTCTCCTGTCGTACTTAATGTCGCAAACGTTTTTCTGTATTGATTCAATTTTGAAAAGGTCCCTGAAAAAACTTTTCGCGCTGTTCAACCCAATTAGTTTCTTAGAATGTGCAATATTCTGACCACGTCCCCGAGCATGAGATGTTGGGTGGGATATTGGATGAAGTTGGTGCCTCCACCCAGTACAACCCCCCACCAGCTAAGCCGACGACACCACCAACAGATTTGTTATGTGGGGCTTGACAGAGGGGTATTCTCCATCAAATAGTAATGCTGGCGATTTATCATTAGACATAGGACAAAGGGTTTCCCTTTACTTACAGCCATGGAACCGCCCTTCGGAAGTAAGTACACCTGGACTGAGGTAATGGTGAACAGGTGGGCAGTAGGCGTACCTGAAGCCGGGTCTGACCCAAAACTGTGCCGCTGACTTTTAAAGGGCCCTCTTCAGTTACAAAACCTTACATATTTCTCCCTTCACCATCTTGATTGGACCTCAGAAAGCTACCGTATCTGATGGTGGTCCCGTGAAGATCAACTACTCTTTTAGATTGGTCCGGACCACTAATTGTTTAATGCCAACGACTAAATAACAGCTCCTAGTGACATTATCAACAACTCAGCTTCGATGAGAAGATTCCTATGCATATTGTATGCTCTGTTACTCAGTAACGAACAGTAATACAAAGTAAAAGACTAAGAAGTAATAATAGCCGGCCTTGAAAAGTTCATTTGGGATGCGCCAGGTATTGAATTTCCGACCAAAATTTGTGGAAGTTTCAAAAGCCATTTGGTAAACCAAATTGAAGCAGCTGTATTTTACTTCATGATATTTTTGGAGTGAATTTTAACAACTTCTGTTTGGTCGTAGGCCTGAGAGACTTGGTCCGATTTAGTTATCCAACTTGGTCCGATTGAGTTATCCAACTCTCAGGCTTATAATGGTCTATAGAGCTCTGTTCTCTTTCCCCTCTTCATTGGATTATTTGAATTTTGACGGGCGGCCCAAATTACTGTAATCGGACTTTTTTGGCTCTATAAACTTAAATTTTTACGAATAGTTCGCCTCAAGAAACACTTTGATTGGGGATGAGCCTCTATATACTTGTCTGTGGCTGTTCGAGTAACTTTAGTTTTTCTAACCATCGCATGCATTTTCAAGTTTACTAACTTAGTCATACTATTTACGAGTATTCCTCACGCATCATTTGGGAAGTCTTTGTCATTCATTTCCTCCAGTCGAAATGTTTTGTTGGAATGGAGGCAAATGGGATCCTAAAGAAGACGTGAAGAGGTGAATTGCCACGGAAATTGCCTGAAATCGAGCAGAATTGGCAGAATGTTCCGTCTGAATCCAGCCAACCTTCGAAAAAACGTTCGATAGGAAGCGACAGGCATGTCAGCATGTGTGTCACTCTATTCTTACTTACTACATCCACGCATGTCCAATCTACGTCATAATATGTAGTATAATGGCCTCAAATTCACCGATACACAACTCAACTCGGCCTCGGCCAACTCGATCACTCAGACATGTCCAACATCCGTGAAGTTTCACCTTCAATAACTACCACGGGCCACCCATTTAGACCCACCACGGACATCAAAGCCCGTTGAATGTTTGGTAAATGAACGCGTTAACCAACTCGTAGAATGAATAATTATTGCATGCATGATGAATGCTCGAGCAAAGCATAAATACTAGTACTCAAAGTAGCAAAAAAGTAGTTAAAACCAGTAAATAATGACGTGTACTGAACTCTTCTTCTTGAAGGTACCTCTAGAACCCTCTCCTCAAATTCTGATTACTTTGGAGACCACAACAAGTTGCCTAGAGAAGGGATTGGGGAGGGAGAG